AGACTACAAGTTCCGCTGAAAGCGCTAGCAGTCACGAGGTTTTTGATAAGAACATTGCACGGTCAAAAAATTTTCATCGTCGTGCAACCATAGTATCTATAGCCGTGGTTTCGGTACATTTTTTCATAAAAACATAGCACATAGTATTAAACCTATTATGTGGTATAAGGTCTATGATAACAACAACTCGCAGTGATAGCAGCTGCTTCCCTGGACAACAATTCGCACGAGTAATCAAAAAGCGCCCTCTATGTTGTTACGCCAAGAAAGAACACTCATAATTGCTTGTCTATATAGTGGAATAAGGTTTACCTTTTTTGACATAGTGGGTTATGGTACACAGATTTCTATGTTCTATCTTTGAGCATTCTATCATTTCTATCTATCTAAATCTGTGTTATACAAAGACGTGCACTATTGCACATTTCCACTGTAGTCGGTAACTTACTGTTTTCATAATATATCTTTAATCGAGTTTAATATTATAATCTATGGAGTCCATGATAGTATGGACTGTGATTCTATCTATTCGTGATATGAACTATGGTTTATCTTAGTCCGTGATTATGACTAGGATAAATGGATAATAATTATCTACACACCTTGGGTTATTACTTAAGGATACTATTGAATTTAGATACTTTTTAAAGTAGTATATGACAAATTAAAATACTTTAGCTACCTTACTACCTTACTATCTACAACTTCTGTCTACCAGATTTAGTTAAAAAATTGCGTTAAATCTTCTTGACGTCGTACCATAATCGAAATCGGATAGTAAACTATAATGAATTCATTAGTTGCTGATTATGGTGATGAAACAGACAGTGATTCGTTGGAAAGTGATCAAAATCTAGATGAAAACACTAAGGAGATGAAGTAATTTTGATCAATTACCTATACCTGATTTCTTTGGAACATATTGCACAGATTTCAGTGATGCAATCAATACTAAAAAATATATTTACAATTTTCAAATACACCTAATGTTAATATATATCATGATTTTATGTCAACAAATTAAAATTTAATTTCAATGGATAATCTGATGCCTGTGTGACTATGTCCAAATTGTTATTTCATTGTATGCCTCTGTATAAAATTAAAATAATATTATTAGTTGTAAAACATTATTACCTTTGCTTTATTTTAATTTCAGGACAGATGATGAGTTTAAAATTGAGAATAAGCTTCCCGCACCAAGATTTAAAGATACTGGTATTATCAATGAATCTGTCTTCAGAAATCCTTACTTAGAAGCTGAAAGAGCTAAAAGTGCAGTATTAGAAAAACATGTTAAAATGGTTCCTGCTAAGGACCACCTTACAAAAGTTAATGGGAAAAATATATGTTGGATGAACAAAAAAGGTCGCTGTCGTTTCGGAAATAAGTGTAAATTTGCTCACGATTCAGAACTATTTAATGGTCCCAATACAATAGATGAAGACAAATCAAATGAAGAGAGTTCAAAATTAAATAGAAAAAAGAAAAGACCTGGATTATCACAAACTTTAATACCTGGAAAAAAAATACTTAAAATATTTAAAAAAACAGAAATGTCTAACGTCCATTCATAAAATATTACCTACATATTTTATACTGTTTTTTAAATCCTAATGTATATAATATAAGTACATAAGAAGTTTAATAAATGTTATCAACTTAAACGCAATTAAAATGTTTTAAAGTTATGGAATTATCTAGTCAGTGTTCCTATATTTTTTTCAGATTTCATGCTTGATTCATCAAACCACATTTAATCTAACATACAGACAATACAGTAATTATGAATCAATAGAAATTTTCTATTTATTATTATTATTATTTGTCCAGTAGATGGCACAGGTATTGTGATTGGAGGACCGAACTTCTTGGAAATCAAGTATTCGATTCAGTGATCTACGAATTAATAGATAGCTGATTTTTTTCTTTAGCATTGGATTAGTTAGCAGATATAAGACATAAGTATACTTCTCAATTAATACTTTTTGTTAGATTTTATTCAAAAGATAATGTTATTGAAGAAGACTTTTTGAAAATCATACCGATGAAAAGCCAAACTCGTGGCTTGTATTATTTTGAAACAATATGCATTTTTTAAGCAAAAAAAAATTAAAAATTAAATTATTTATTTATGAACAAAAAGCTGATTTTCCTTAAATAAATTCACTATCATTTTCTTACAAATTTGCATTACTTGCACATGTAACTAAAAGATGATATACTTCAAACCAATCTGAAAGAAGAAAATAAACTTATCCCTCACATGGCCAGTAAGATTTTTGCTTTTGAAGAAAAGTTCAAAATGTACATTGAAATGTGCCATCATTATACAGTTTTGAAGTATTTGAACTCAGAGGCTTTGCAATGTTGTCATATATTTTTGAGAAATTGTTCAATTCAGACACTAATTTCTGATGGTTTATTGATAATATTTTTAATGCTGATTCTGGTAGATTGTTATTCTTTGCATATTGAAAATTCTTTGGTAATAAATACTGAATATCAGCTATAATTTCTCTATTACTTGAATATATAAATTATATATGTGTTAAATAAAATAACCCAGTCATTTAGACAAGTGCACGTTTAATATGGTTAACATACAACACAAGTATTAAGTATTTACAAATTAACTGTTAGAATAAAAGAACCATTAATGTGTCCCGCTAATTTTATTAAGAAATAATTATTACATTTTAAAGGAAACAAATTGGCCCCACTTAGAACTAAAAAAATAAATTGAAATATATTTATAAGAATTGTATCTATGTAATAAGTAATAACTAATTAGTAAATTTTAAAAAAAGCTACTCTTGTATTGGTGTTACATCTTTTATTCATAAAAATGCTACAAACCAAACCAAATACATTTATTTTGATTGATCTTGAAATTATCATAAATTTGGCTTATAGATAAATAGTATATATACATCTCGGAGATTTATTAATACCTCAAGTTTATTTGAAACTTAAATAAGTGTATTAAGACCTCCTCATTGCTAACATTGTATTTATTTCCCATATAATTCTTCGAAGATGATCAATTATTTCTTTTAAATGTCTATTTTTATTACTTAATTGTTCAGCTACTTCTTTCATTTCATCGCTAGCAACACGATAAGTTTCGCTAGTTTTCCTTTCTTCAGACTTCATGTCCCATTCTTCTTGGAGTGGAATCAATCCTTCTATATGCATGTATTCCATACCTTGTAGTTGACAGCTATCATTACATTTTTCGTATATAATTCTTAGTCGTTTAAATAGTAATTTTATGTTCCTCAATTGATCTTGCATTTTAATCCGCCTTTCATTACTCATGTTAGCACCAGTTGTAGTACCATTCGGTGGCATAAGAACTTTAAGTAGCTGAAACACTTCATGTGTGCGAGACACTATCTCTTGAACGGTTTCTTGTCCAAAACGACACAAAGATGCAGTGTTAAATTGATGACCAGATGCTGACTGATTCTGGTTGGAAGGAGGCACTGGAGGCTGGGAAACGGAACCAACACCTACAGGATTCTGATTAAGAGGAACTTGTGGTACCAATACATTGTGTTGACCCGGAACCTGTGCCTGTATATTAGATTGTAAGCCAGGCCCCACGTTAAAGCTTGGTTGACCAACCATGCCAGTCTGAGACGACTGCATATTGATATACGGATGTTATATAAAACTTTAATTTAAATAATTGTAAAGCAATTTCGTACACAAAGTAAGAAGTAAAATCTAAATTTTACATAGACGGTGTACTGACATGGAATACAAATAAGTAATAAAAATATTTAACCAATAGGCCGTGACAAATTGAGTACCAGAACGAGGATTAAGATTGAGAAGACTACATCACACTCCGGCGAAGTTCTGAATTTCTGATAACACCACAACTGGCCCAACTCCTGAGATCTGTCATACGAATGCATGATTAAACAACCACAGGGGGCGCTGTAGTCGCTAGGGGTTGCTACTGTTTGTAACCACAATTTGTGGTCCACAAACTATTATCATTCGCGTCCATATTGTTCTATAGTTCTATGAAATTTTTCTGTGCTTTAAGCGGAAAGCGTCAAGTATTATCACGGAATGGATTAATTATTTATGTTTTTTGAAAATATATTCATTATTATGAACCATAACGCTTATTAAATTGTATAGGTTGTATAATATTACGCATTTATTAATTTGTCTGATAAAATCATATACAAATACGATTGATAGGCATTTGCCCATTAGGTATTTAGTATGGTATAGTTAATTATTTATGGAAATACAGAATTTGTATTATGACGATTATGTAAACATGCTAATAATTTTTGAGCACAAGCATTGAATGTTTAGAGTTTGATCATAAAATAGCTTTAGCTACCCAGAAGGAATTTTTTTTTCTTTACAATGTATTTCCAACGAGTTAAGAACAATGGTACAAAAAAAATTGGAAATAATTTGGAAGGCTTTAATTTCCAAAATTATTATTTTATAATTTTATTTTTGCACTATTATTCATAACTCGTTGAATATTATACTCGTATGTTTAAAAAAAAAATCAAATTCATGCTGGGTAGCTAAGGTGAATTTGTTCCAGAGTTTGTTAGATAGGGGTTTTTTTACCATATTTTTAGTCTAGTACTTTTGCCCCCTTGAATTTTTAGTACATAATATAAAAACTGAAATTTCACTTTTTAGTTAATAAATGTTTTCAAAATTAAATAAGAACAATTTTCAATTTGAATCTACTTTTTATATTATATGTTACAACAAAGAACGCATTTGCATTTTATGTACCTAAGTATATGCAATTAAATGAATCAGCTAATAGAAAAATTATTCATTAATTAAACTATTGAGAGTCATTATTATTAACAAATTTTGACAAAAAATCATTTGGCTTTGGCTCAACAGTATCCTTAAATAATGTCATTACATGACAGTCCTGAGCCCATTTAGTAACAATTTCTTGCAACAGCATCTGACCCTGCAAATTAAAAATTATAAAATGAGTTATTCATTCAAAGATGATATTATAGTAATAAATAGGAAACACATACAAATTTGTATTATTAGAAAAACACTATAAACTAAAACGTATTAACACTTATAGATAGTAGGTACCTGATACACTTTTGCTTTTTCTATATAACTGTTCAGATAAATCATAGGGCACTAAGCACTCACCGGTCGCTTATACTGAGCAGTCAGAAATATATTTTCATTTGAAATATTTTTTTTTTGCTTTCATTGATCAATTTAATCACATTTGTGCTACATTTTGAGACCGAAAATCATACATTTTCTTTTGCTATATTCTTCATAACGCGTTTAGCTTTCTCTGAGTTTATTAGGTCAGTATTGCCTTCGTAATTAAGAGTTGTGAGGAATCCATTTTTTTAACATTTTATCAAATACAAACATTATTTTTTAAATAATAAGAAAAATAAATACCAAATTTGAGTAAGAAATAATGAGCTTATATTGAATTAATATACAAACTTAATTTAACTTTCTTACACCTTCTACTGAAGAAACTAAGATAGTAAAAAAAATAATGGCTTAAAATACCACAAACCTGTAGCTAATAATCTAAATAAACAGTCCTAGATTCTGGTTTCACATGAATTGTTTTTAACAAGATAAGCAAATCAAAACTGGTGATTCATTTTGTAATAATTGTAAACATTAATAATATACCTCATTATGACTTTTGGTGTGTGTATTTTGTTCAAACACAGATTAAAATCTGTGATGTTCTGTGTTTTTGTGATAATTACTTAATAAAATCAAAGAAAGCTAAATGTGTAATGAACAAAATAGCAAAAAAAAATTATGATTCGACCTTTTGAATTTGTATACAAAATGAGATTAAATAATCCAATAAAAGCAACACATTTACTTCTAACAACATTTTTTTATGACTTCCGGCTTAGGACAATGCAATGCCAGATGTACTATAAAGCATCTGAGCTTCCAGTGATATACTTAGTTGCAGCGATGTTTATACATTTTTACATACCTTGATCACTAACATATCAATGACTCTAACATCAGTTATGTGTTTATTTTTCAAGAATTCTTCTTTCAACTTAATTTGACATTCTTCTTTTGTAACGGGTAAATGACGATCAAACACTAAAAGAATACATTAACTTTGCATACAAATGTTGGAAATATATCTTAAATTGTGTACTTACACATCAAAGGGATTTGCCTGTAATATGTTTTATATAAATTTAAAACTCTTTTTTTAGCTTCCGATTTATCAGATGATAATAGTGGTCTAACTATTTTAGTTGCACATTTAGAGGCTTCTCGAGCAGCCATTTTAAAAAAAAATATGTATTTTCAAATATCGACAATCGTAATGAATTTTTCGGTGAAAAATAATTGTATTTATTAAATATTTTAAACAGTGAAGTAGATGCAAGATAGATATTGTAATACTAAGAAAATGTCTAAAATAAATTTGTATGATTAATGTCTTATCAAACATCAGTAACCTTTCAAGTTTGATAAAAAACATTGACTATCAATCATATGTTAAAAGCACGATACTATGAGCACCACAGATACATAGAATAAACGTCATATATAATATATCACACATTTATATCTATAAATAAATGTATTTTATTAATCTGTGATGAGCACGGACTATGATATAATATATATGAAATTATAAACTGTCCGTGACTGGTGTATCATCGGCCGGAACCGGTTGTTATGGGGGTCATATCTCCCCCTTGAAATTTGAACACAATACAACAATATAGTCTATGGATAATGAATACATGTGTTTTACTGAATATGTCTATTAAAAATTAAATTCTTTATAGTATATCCTCCCAACTCATAAAAAAATAATAGATATAAGCTGGTGATACAATTGTGAGTATACCTGTCACCTATACACAGCTGATTTATCTGTGGATTATAAGAATGTACTTATATTATATTTGTTAATAACAAGTTTTCTTGCCCTCACCCATAAGCGCAACTAGGGGGGGG